AACTGTCACCTTGTCTATGTCTTGTAGAATATCAATTTCAAGTTTCCATATCAAAGTGATTTCTGTAACGGCAGAACAACCATAGATAATTTACTTCATTTAGAAATTTCCATCCATAGAGCCTTTGTCAAAAGAAACCATCTAGTTTCAGTCTTTTTTTTTTTTTTTTTTTTTTTTTTTTTTTTTTTTTCCCCGACATTTAAAAGAATTATGATAAAGCCTGGAGATTGGCATTCTCTGTGATCTCTATGCCAGTGGCTTGAATGGGAACCTACCAATACAGAACTTTATGAGGGCTAGGACATTCCACATAAGGATCGGTTGTGTGTTAATGTTTTCTGTCAAGAAGAGGGTGTGCCTTAAGGCTATGTTCTTAATGTTACACTTTTGAGCTTAAAAATAAACTCTGTTCTAAAAGAACTTCTTCTTACTATTTTAGGGACTTCCTATGATGATGATCTCTCCAGGTAAGTTGTCAAGGTGGAGATATGAGATATTTGAAGAGGCAGCTGCAGATCCTGTTAGCAAGATCTAGAAATGGTCAAAGAAACATGGATTTATATTTTAAAAATGGAAGACCATATGTGTACACTTTTGCAAAAAGTGTAACTTCCATCCTGAGACAGAGCTTCATCTTCAATTCCAGCGGTGTCCAAATAAATTCTTAGGAGTGATGTTTGGCTAAAAAGAGACAGTTTCCCCACATTTGATACTTGAGGAAGAAATTGAATCTTTTAAATGTCCTGGCAAACTCCTCCTGGGGGGGTTTAAAACGTTGCTTTGGATTTATAGAGAAAGCCTTGTCTGCTTTAGACTTGATTATGGCTCAGTTGTTTATGGTTCTGTATGCCCCTCCATGTTACTGAAACTAGATCCTTTTTGTCATAAGGCTGTGTATGTATGGTCCAAAACATTTAGAACATCTCTATTTGAGAGTCTCTGTGTTGATTGTTACAAACCATCATTTGAATTAACCCATTAGCCGCTGGTGTTGCGTTGACGCAACGGTCAAAATAAATGTGTGTATAAATATAACTACCTAAGATATTTTATACCAGCAGATGATTTTGTGTAAGGAATATTATAAAGATTATTTCTGTAAAAAAAGATTTGCCTTCAACAATCATTTTGTTTATAATAATTAATATCATACTTTAAGCAAAATTTTCGACCAAGTATTTTTTCTGAAAATATTTAATGAAAGAATCGCCGTCTCTAGAGTGATCTGTTTTTAGTCAAGGTCACCGTTTATCAGAACATTACATTTATATTTGTGTTGGGAAGCAAGGGAAAACAGGTGTTGCGCTGACGCAATGTCAGCAGGAAATGGGTAGTCAATCTCCTTTTTCACTCATTCCTTTCGATGTTCTGGTTGTTTAAAAATGCCTAGAATGAGGTATCTTACATTAGAAGAAGCCCTTCAAAGATTTTTTGATGAAGAAACAGATGATGATAATGTAATAATGACTAGAATGAAACTGAGATTGTTGTTGTTCCCCCAGAAATTGCAGAAACTAGTGACGAAGAAGAAAGGAATGGCAATGTTTTAAATAATGATAATGATATTTTACGAAATGATACTGCTGGGGAAGTTGAAATTCACATAAGTAAATTTCAGCCTTCTAAAAGCAGTTATAGTCATACTAAAAAGTTTAAAAAGCAGAAGATTGAAATCTAGAAGTGGATAACAGTTAGTTATTTCTCAGGAAGAACATGAAGAAAGAGATAGAAGAGGAATTATAAAAGACAAAATATTATAAAAGAATTATAAAAGTAAAACTAGTGCACAGATTTTCGTTTTGGTTTAGACATTTACTCTCTTCTCGTTGAACAGACAAATATATACGCTCAGCAAAAAAAAAAAAAAAAAAAAAAAAAGCCCAGAATTTATTGCATCTGAAGCCTATATGAGAAGATTTATTGGAATATTATTGCTTACAGGATATTATTCTTTACCTCAAGAAAAAATGTATTGGTATTTTGATAAGGACATTTCTGTTCCTGTTGTATGAGAATCGATATCATGTTTGCAGTACAGGAATATGAAGCAGAATTTGCATTTGACAATAGTCAAATTTACAATACTGATAAATTATATGAGGTGAGACCGTATCTAAACTTATTAAATATCACCAGTTTTTACGACTGGAAATATTTTAGATTTCAGTCGTAAAAAGTCAATCTGAAATCTAAAAGTCTCTTTTAGATTTCAGATGCGAGAATGCATTTTTCCTTTTACAAACTCCTATTTAGAGCGTAGAATTAGCCAGAAATAGATCAGCAACAGGAAGACCTAGTAAATTCAGCATTCAAAAACCATTGTATGGAGATGGTAGACATTTTATCATAAAGTCCGTTGATAACAAAAGACTTTGTTGTAAAGAGTACCATAGCCAGACTGTTTATAGATGCAAAGTATGTAATGTAGCTTTACATCATGATTGTAATCAAGCTTTTCATGCTTGAATCTTTCAATTGAAATAATCTGTATTTGTAAAAGAAATACAATGTATATTTTAATATTAAATTAATTACTAGTAAAGTGAGGATTTAGATTTATAAAACGTTATACAAAAAAAATTCTACAGCTAAAAAGTAATCCTGCTCTCCTCTCAAAAGAAACATCACACGAGTACAATCCTACTCACTAAACATCCGTAGGCTTATTCCGCTGACGTTGCGTGAACGCAACACTCGCGTTTTCCATAGGTAAGAGCGTTTTTTTTTAATTTTCAATGTAAATTTATGTTATAAATGCTTAATTTAATATTTGTTATTATTTTCATGAGAAAAGAAACATTCCTTGTAGTTTTGGCGGGTAATGGGTTAAGGCGAGAACATTTATCTCATTGCTGTTATTTCGATATATTTTCACAACTTAATCATCCTTGGAAACTGGTTTTGTCCAATACTTGTGAGTGTGTGTTTGATTCTTGAATGCCTTATTTCTCTCTTGGTACTGTCTCAATAATTATGCAGGCAAAAATACAGTACTTTCTTCCGTACATTTACAGATGGGTCAAAAGCCGTTTGTCTAAAATTAAAGAGCCATGGGTATGACATCCTTTACTGCTGGGTTCCCAGACATGTGGGTTTAAAAGGTAACAAGCTGGCAGACATTATAAGAAAGTCTGCAGTTCATTTGTCCAATCAGCTTGTTCCTTATAGTGATGCTGGGGGATTTATCAAAGAAAAAGTCTTGAATGAGTTATTGGGAGAGTGCTTGATGACAGAAGAAAGAAGTTTTGTTAGCTCATTTGACAGTATTCGAATCACCCATAATTACCATGTAAAAGCAAAGAGTGAGCCAGTGTGCTCATTTGTGATAATGTTCTGTCTATGCATCGTTTTTGAGTAGAGTGTCCATTTTTTAACAGTCTTCGACTGAAGAATTTTGACATGTGGGACTTGCCTCTTGACTGCATAATCGAAAAGGAGGTAAATACCAATTTATTTCGGTATCTGAAAGAGTTTATTATTAAATTTTATTTAATTTTGAAGTTATCTTGTGTTTAAATACTGTATTTTAGCATGTCATGTTTTACTCCTGTTTTCATGATTTTACTCTTGTTTCACATGTGAAATCATTAAATGAGTTTTATACACAAATATCATCTGAGCATTCATTACCCTGTTTTTCACTAATTTTAATATTTTTTACTAATTTTATCTATTTTGTTTTATACTTTTGTTTCATGTTAGCTTATTTATGTATGTAACTTATGTCTGGCACACCATAACCTTTTAGGGTTATGTGCCAAAATATTCATGCTACAACTACTGAATCCTTTATTGTATTTTTCATAATTTTTCCATACTTTCTGAAAGTTTTGATGAAAAAATTACCAATGCTTAAAATCATACATGCTTGAGGTGTTAGAAATGGCATTCCATCCAAAAAGGAAAACCCCTTCACCATACTTTTGTTCTAAATAAAGGTTCCATAAAAGTAATTCAATTGCAAGACACAAGGACACAATAGCCATATCTTTAAGACACCATATGGTGTTAGTGACCATTGAACCAATTCATAGAAATAGGAAGTAGTGGATCATGTGAGTTTGGGGTTATACAGTTAATTCTTCTGTTAGATAATGAAGTTTTGTTTCTTATCAATTTGCTCTGCTTGAGTACAAATGTTCTCCAAGTTAATAAATTCGAATAAAGAATTTATATTCTTTAGGTCTTTTGCAAGAGAGGATATTATTGATTCAGAAGTCAAACAACAAAAATCAGCGTTAAATCACAAAATTTTCACAGGACTAGTTTCGATGGTTTTACCGAACCATCATCTTCAGCTGCAAAACCGCAAAAAATTTATTCAGGATATTATTTATAAATGTTATAATTTACAATAATAGTTTACATCTATGGATAAAATTTTCCTTTCAGTCTGCTTTACCTCAACAGAAAATTGCAGATTATATTTGTAGTTGGAAATTGAGGAAAAGTTGAAAGTAAATTCATTAATTGGATGGAAGGATTAGAACAATAATATTTATGTTAAGAAATTTGTGTAAAGTTATTAATATATAGTAAGACTGGAAAAAACATCAATAAATTTAATTGCACAGTAATAATAACTGCAATTAAATCTTAATATGATTTGTTTTTAATTAAATTTATCTTTTTGATTTAAATGTAACAATACTAATCAGTTTTTTCTAATTTATTATTCAATTTTTTCATATTTTTATGAGCTATGTATTTATTTTTTTAATATATATATATATATATATATTGGATCAGATACATTGAAACAAACTTCTGATACCCTGAAATTTGTTATAGCAGGGTACACATTTTTATTATATGGAATATCATTTACTGTTAAGTAATAAATACAGTATCAATAAATAAGAATCATTGGTTTCTCCTTCCTTCTTGCAAATCATAAAATTAAATAGTTAGTTAAAAATACTTTCTTAAATTTGAATTTTATACTTAATGAAATTGATTAGAAAATTGTTATCTTTTACATTATTGCATTTTCATTTCAGTGATGAAATCTTTATTGCCCCTTCTGGAGTCCAGAAGGAGAGAATTCAGCCTGGTGATATATTTGTTGTCAATGCTGATGGTTGCATCATCAGTTCTCCAGCTGAAGAGAAAAAACTTAAAATTAGTGAATGCACTCCATTGTTCATGAATGCATATCATTTGCGAAGTAAATACAAAATTTCCTCCAATTGAATTATATACACAAATTAATTGATAATTTACTTCTAATAATAAATAAATAAATGTAATAAATCTTCAGCTATGAAAAAACTCCTAGGCTAAATATCTACAGAGTCTTGCAATGTCTGTTTTGAAGGTAATCAAAGCATGGGTGCTAATTAAGTTTGAACTGCTTTTCTTTGTGTTAGTAGAATTAATAAAAATTTAATACATTTCTACATCTATGTCCTGTTAATAGATACATAAAAGATTGAATATGTATTGATCAGCCCTTGCATCATGATTCACATGCATTGTGTAATTCAAGTGAAAACATTTTCCTCAAAGAACTTAGATATGGTTAAAAAGCTTACTTATTTTTTCATGTTTATATACATTTTGTAGCTATTAAAAATTTTGTTTTGCCTGTTTGTTTTTACTGTCTCAGAATCTGGTTAAATTAATAGTAATTGTAGCTTCTCTTGTGTCTGAGTTGCAATTAAATATTGAATCATATAGTAATGAATGCTACAATTGATATTATATTTTTAATGTGATAATATTTTGTACCTGTGAGCACAAACCATACATTTGAGTGTGTTCAGATAAACTTACTATATAGTATTTTGTTCATTTTTAGATGCTGGAGCAGTACTTCATTCACATTCTAAGTCTGCAGTTTTAGCTACATTAATCTATCCTGGATCTGAATTTGTAATTACATATCAAGAAATGATAAAGGTAAAATTTAAGAGTAAAATATTATACAGTAGGAAGAACCTTACATTTATTATCATTATTTTTTATTCTGAAATTTTATTTTCCAGGGAATTATAAAAGGAAATACTGGTTTAAGATATAGATATGATGACAAATTGGTTGTGCCAATTATTGAAAATACACCTTTCGAGAAAGATTTAAAGGTTAGTACAATTACATTTCTAGGCATATTAATTTTTATAGCATATAACTTCTTTCACATATATGCACATATTTGAAATTTAATCTTATTTTTTTATTACACCCTCAGTTATTTAAAAATTACATATGTATATTGCAAACAGTTGCCAAATGGTTAGCAGTCATAAACATAGTCATGACATAAACTTCTTATGAGAAGAACTGTTAGTATTGCTGCTTTGATGCAGTTTATTAACTAGAGCTATAATAATTTTAAAGTTGTAAAATGTGTGCAGAAATCCATGAGACAAAGAAGTATTTTTGATACTGTACTAAAAGCAATAACATAAATATGAAACTCACAAACCATATGCAAGTAGTAAAGATATTTTCTATATAAGTTCTGCATTTTTTAAATTAAAACGTGGTAGTAATTTTAGCATTCTTTAAATAATGGGAGCTGTAATAATAAGGAAGTACCCCCTATTTCTATATCTATGTTTAATTATTTGAAACATAAATGTCAACAGAAACAGTTTAAGCAACTATATAAAAAGTGTTATCTTAAATTAAATTGTATTTGAAGTTTTACATAATTTATATCAAAAATTTTAAATGCATTTTATTAGTGAAAAGCAAGTAAACTGTTGTAAAAGGTAGTTGCAGACTTTAATTCCTTAAATAGTATCCTAGACAGGAATTTTCAACTATGTAAAATTTCTCCAAATGAAATAGAGAATTTTATGCAGTATTTCAGCACTATGTGTGGGAGCTTCTTTGGAAATATAAAATCTGACTAATATGTTGCTTGTTGACAGGGTTGGCACCAGAGCCCATGTGGTTGCACTGGGCAGTAGAATTTTGGCGTGGCAAAATGTTTACTATATCGGAAGAGACCAGGCGACAGAATTTAGGAGATGCAGAGTTCATATTGGATGGCAAAAAGCCTGGTGCCAACCTTAGTTGTAGATAAAAAAATTCTAATTAATAAAATATCCATTATATCTTATAATTAAATAAAAAGTATTTCACACTTGCAAAATTTGTGAAAATGCAAATTTTCACAAATATAAAAAATATAAAGGTATGGAGCATGTTGTGTTTCATTTATTAAATCATAATAAATAGCTACATTTGCTGCATGGGAAAAGCATAAAAAGTTAAATTTTGTCTTTACAGACCCATCTTAATCATACTTCTAAAGTCATTTAACTTATTCTGATAAACTTTGTATGTAAAATTATGTGTGTAAGATCTGTATTTAAGGGGGAAAAGTCTTCCTTTTCCAGTGCATTAATCAGTAAAGATTGAATAAAAATATTTCAAATTTTGAATATTTTAGTATCATGGTAGTAGAATATTAAAAACATCATTCCCTGCATTTTCAAAAGTAAACCAATATATTAGTTATCTCAGAGCATTTTTTTGGGGGGGGAGGGAAGCTTTAGTTATCTCAAATTTTCAAGTCCTATATCAGAGCAATGAATCTTTATACTCTTACCCACTCTGGAAACATTGAATTTTTCTTAGTGTTCTGAAGGCTTATCCATCCTGAATCTGAATGTTTTATGTAATGGAAGTGATTTCTTTCCCCTTTCTGTGTACTCTAAGAGGCAAGACATCTAATGCTTGTCACAATGCTATGTGTAGAGAATTGTCTGGGCTGTTTAACCTCCAATATGATGATGACCAATCAAAGAACAGCTGTAATTTTAGAAAAGAATAATAATTAAGAAGAAAATCGACAACCGAATAAAGTTTAAGAGAGAAGCATTGTTCAGAACAGTGTAAAATTCATAAAAAAGAACTAAATCTTGAGATTTTATTCAAAGATTCTGTAAAAGTGGACATGTAAATTGCAGCAAGACTTTGATAGATGCATAAATTGTGGTGGATATAAAATCCCTGTTGGATGATGATGATGATGATGCAGAATTACAATAAATTTACAAATATTTTATGCATAAAGAAGTAGAAGAAACTGTTAATGCATCATGTACCATTTCAGAGTTCTCTGAAAATATTGTGCCTGATTTATTCACATCAAGTATTGCTTTATTGAAAGTTTTCCAATATCTAGGCATCAAAAGCTTGGACCATTTGCATCTTCTGTAGAAATATTTCTAAATATAATTTCCGAATCTTTTGAAATGATATTCTGGTACCTCCTAGTTCAACAGAGCGATGATGGGCAGAAACTGATGGATCTTCAAGGACACTCTGCTATAGAGCTTCCACTGCAGCATTGATTCCACTACAGTGCACTTAGGATCTCTTCCTGAAAGACTGCAGACTGATCAAGTTCTTTCAAACTGAATGAGTAAATTACATATCATGTTATCCCCAGTAGATTCTCTAACATTAAAATGCTGCTGGTATTTTCTCTGAGTTTGAAAGATTGATCTTTCACTGGAATAGAAAAATTAAATAAGTAAAAAAGATTGAAAACGAACAAGTCGAGAATTTTCCTAACAGTTCAATGGCCATCCTGCGTATGCACAGTTTTGTGACTTACAACAAAGTATAAAATGCAGAAGGATCTAATATCTAGACAAATCAGCATTTCTTTTTTTAAGAAAAAGAATCACATTCTGAAATTAACATCTCATTGTAATATGTATGCTTAATGTTTAACTTATGCAAAGTAGAAATTTTTCCATAATGAAATACGCAGAAGGTCCTTACTCTTAATTTCAGTTTGGCAGTAAATAAAACATCTCCATGGTGAAGAAACACAATCATTTATTAGCTTAAATATATACGATAAATAATTTTAATAATAAAAAAAACTAATATAATTTAGTCTTAACTTTCGCAACGCATAAAAGAAGCAAGACAAAATTTAGCATAAAACATGCTTTTAGTCGCCACTTTCATGGTATGTTACCAGTAGTATATATCAGATGCTATCCAAGCATTAAGCTGTGCTAAAATGTGACACTACTCAAAATCTGTAGTTGGATTCTGAATACAGAAAATATAAAGTATGGATAATGAAGAACATGTCCAGGAGGTAGCTGAGAACATAAAAATTTTGATTGAGAATTTAGTGGAAATTCTGAACTTTGCAACTGTAATAGTATATTATAACAATGTAACATGGTAACTGAGCAAGAAATTATGACAAGTAACTTAAACAACACTGAAAGAAATTTTAAACAAATTTCTTTCAGTGTTGTCTAAGTTAATTAACAAACCAAACAAATGAATATTGAGCTGTTTTGATAAAGTTTGATTCCCTTAAGGTCATAAATGCATCATTGTTCAATAAACAACTATTTCATATTTTTAGTTTTATAATTTCTACATGTCATCTTACTTGATTTAAAATCCAGAATCACCAAAGTCCCGACAAGTCAGAACCTTAATTTTGTAGTGTATTAGTTAAATGCTTTATTTGTACTGATGGCTCTCATTGAGAATTTAAATTTGATTACTTTAGAAAATTGGTGAAGTTTAGTGATCATTTGGAAGATGGTATTAATTTTATAAAATGTTTAAATCTTGGTTTCATTTAAGTGAAATCTGAGCAGGAAGCAAAAGTATATTTTTTACCAGACTGTAGTAGTATAGTTTAGTTTGGCTTAGTTTAATTAGTTGTAGCATCTTCATTTGCATATAGTCATAATTTCTATGTGTAGAAATGTTAAATTTTTGCGGAAATTATAATAATGTAATAGTTTTCTCTAACATCGTTTCTTTTCATACTATATGTGTAAAATTTGAAAAATAATCATACATAATATTTTCAGGACAGAATGGCTGCTGCTATGAAACAGTATCCTGAAACATCTGCAATCCTTGTACGACGTCATGGTGTTTATGTTTGGGGCGAGACATGGGAGAAGGCCAAAACAATGTAAATATTTGAATTTATTTCACTCTTACTGTATTGCCTATTTTAATTATTACTTTTAATCAACTAATTAATTGCATTCATTTCAATTATATTTTTATTTTAGGGCAGAATGTTTTGATTACTTATTTGATATTGCTGTCCAAATGAAATTGCTTGGCCTGGATCCTTCAAAACCACCCAATGAAATAAGATCTTATTAAAATACAATATAAAATATTTTAATAAAAAGCATTTCAAAAGCACCCATGAAATATGATCTTATTAAAATATGATGTAAAATATTTTAATAAAAAGCATTTCAAAAGCACCCAATAAAATATGATCTAATTAAAATATGATGTAAAATATTTTAATAAAAAGCATTTATATAAAATTTTTCTTATGTATGAAAAATGTTCCTGTAAAGCTTCTCTTGTTCTAAAAATTAAACATAATCGGTAGGACGAACGCTATTAAAATCTTGATAGCAGTTATAATGAGATCAACTGTATTCATTAGAGAATTCAGACTTACAGCAAGTTTGCATAGCCGAACATAAAATATTGTTTTTAGAATTAGTTCAAAGCTATGAAATTGACATTTTGGAAAATAAACTGTGACATCAGATGATTGTTAATTACTTTAGTAAATCTGAAATTTGAAAATAAATAGGTATGTGGAGTTTTAAAAAAAAAGTATTATCTGAGTAATTTAAAACAATCTATATCAATGTTCTCAGGATGAAGTAAAGTACTTTATAAAGTTTTAAAATTGTTGGATTTCTCCTGAAGCAGTAAATTAGTTTTAACTTGGCAATCATCAGCCGCATTTGTCCAAACCATCACTGCCTACTGGGACGAAGTGGGAGGAAAAGACTAAAAAAATGTCTGATGACCACATGACTTCCTTGTATGGCCTATTAAATCATACATTTAAATTTATTTCCTCGAATTTTATTACAGATATATTTCTCATTGAATTAATTCAGTTCTCAATTTGTGTCAAGGCAAAAATATATAAAAACTTGAAACATCTTCAATAAAAATTAATTTAAAACAATCTATATCAATGTTCTCAGGATGAAGTAAAGTACTTTATAAAGTTTTAAAATTGTTGGATTTCTCCTGCAGTAAATTAGTTTTAACTTGGCAATCATCAGCCGCATTTGTCCAAACCATCACTGACAACTGGGACGAAGTGGGAGGAAAAGACTAAAAAAATGTCTGATGACCACATGACTTCCTTGTATGGCCTATTAAATCATACATTTAAATTTATTTCCTCGAATTTTATTACAGATATATTTCTCATTGAATTAATTCAATTCTCAATTTGTGTCAAGGCAAAAATATATAAAAACTTGAAACATCTTCAATAAAAATTGTAAAACACAGAAAAACTTAAGACACCAAATACAATTAAAAAACGATTTTCACCATTAACTATAAGAGTTAGCACAAGTTAAGTTAAGAACTATGCAGAAATATAAACAATTCGGCCAAATGGCCAGAAGACAGAATTGAAAGTTTACTTTTGGTACCACTCGGCAGATAAACAGATAAAAGTGCATAGCACTAGAAACGTCATTATAGAAACGAACAGGTATTGTCCCCAATACACTAACCAGTTAGCATATGAAAAACTTGAACTGACTACAAGTCTTTAATCCGGACTCGTCGGGACTTCGGCGATTCCGGATTATAGATCATCAGTCTCAATCTGGTAAGATGGCATGAAGAAATTATAAAATTAAAAATATGAAACTGTAATTTATGAAATAAGGAGCATCTATAAATTTACAAAAAAAAAAAAAAAAAAGCTTTACATTTATTTGTTTACTTTATTAAACATTTCTTTCAATGCGCCCATGCGTAAAGTATACATTACGCATAGTCAAAATTAGAAAATTGCAACCAGAAAACTATTTGATGTGTATTCGTGATATTTATAATGATGACATTTGCTTAGACATTTGTTTAGGATTTGTTGTAGTTGTGATTTCGGAAGTGTGATGTTGAGGAACTCGCATTCTTGGAAAAGAGCTGCTGTTTTTGCCAGGTTGACGGCAATATCATTCTCGCTGTGCCCTTTGATCAAAGTTGTGATTATTTCAGTATTGAGATCTTTAGAGATTTGATTAATTTCCTGGTCCAGGTGAGAACAGTTGTCTGGATTTTCTGACGGAGAGTAAGGCTGCTTGGCTGTTTGAGTTAATGGATATTTTGGAGAAATTGTTTATTGAAGCAATGTTGATGGTAGCTTTTATTGCAGAGAGTTGCACTTGATATATGCTATTGGAGTTTTTAAAGTACCCTTTCCATTTTATTTCAGAGTCCAGATGTTGTTGCATTGAAAAGAATGCTGCACATCCGACTTTTCCTTCGATTTTTGATCCATCAGTGTAAGCTTCAATTCGTTTGTTTCTTGGGTCAATGTCCTTTTGGATTTTTAGTATGGGGATCGGCTGGATGTGTTTTGTGTGGAGAAGGGCATTGTTCGTAATCATCTGCAGAATAGATACAATCCTAAAAGATGCTAAAGTTGTTACACAACTGACTTAATTCACTATTCTACTAAGAATTTTAAATATAAACAAATAGTCGCCACATTTGGCCTAGCACAACTTTTAAATTATTGATAATTCTACAATTACTGTATGGAGACTAAGGACAGAAAAACTTTAATCGGAGCATAAGAATAATGTAATTCAACCAATTTTAAAGCATAAAATTCACAAATTACCAATATATAAGAGCAAGAAAAAGAGCTCACAGAACTGCCTAAAAGGGTGAATCTTGAATAGCACTGCAACGTCGCAGTGACATTGCAAACTTGTCACATTGTGACGATCTCTATGTCACAGTGATGTTGTAGGTATGGCTTTATGTATGCTTTTTGCGACGTTGATGTGAAGTCGCACTGAGACGTTGATGCGTAATCACGCTGCGACATTGTGGTGAAGTTACAGTGTTATATTGTTGTGAAGTCATACTGCAACATTCATGCAATGACACATTGCAACTTTAATATAATGCCATAGAGTGACATGAATGTAACATAATAAAGTGCCGTGCATGTAATGTCACTATGGAATGCAAATGCATGTCACACAACACAGGATTACTTTCTAAGTGATAAGCATGATGTATTCCTATTTTAGTAAGCAGATAAGTACAATAATGTTTTAGTGTTCCAGTAAGGAATTATACTCAAGTAATTAAAATATTTCTGTAATATTAAAAATTTTTAAATTATTGAAAATTTTCAACATAATCATTTGAAATTTTCTCATCCTACCTACACTGTAAAAAAAAAAAAAGAAAAGAAAAGAAATCTGTAAGGTTACTAAGAAATTTCGTGGAAACTGGGATGCCATGGACTATTTGAATAATCATAGCAGGGATATTCTGAGTAACTTTATAGAGATTATGCCTGTAAAGGTTACAGAGGTTTGACATGTAATGTTACAGGAAGGTATTCTACAGGTATAAAGATTTTGTATGTTGATTATTGAAGCATATGTCTGTAAAGGTTACAGATCTTTGATTTGTAATATTACAGGAAATTATCGTGGAAGTATAACATGTTTTCATATTTGGATTACCAATGTATACATCTGTAAAGGTTACAGCTATTTGATCTTTAATGTTACAGGAATTAATAGTGTAAGCAGAACGCATTTTTTTGTATGTGGATTACAAAAGAATATATTTGCATATTACTGATGTTCTGCTTGTAAGGTTATTCCAAGTGATTATATGTAAGCAGAATGTGTATTTTCTATGTGAAATATTAAAGGATATATATGTAAAACTTGCAAATAATTTACTTAAAAGTTCTTCCAAATATTTATGCATAAATAATATGTTTGTCTTATACAAAATACATAAATGGTATATTCTCAAATATTAAATATTTTGATTGTAATATTACTATAAATAATTACACATGTAGAACATATGTTGCATGTTAAATGTCTACATCTACTGCTTGTAACGTAACATGCTGCATATATTTATTTTTGGGGAAAGGAAAGTTATGTAACTTTAAACATCATTCAGCTGTTTTAATAAAATGGATATGATTACAGAAAAGGATATTTTAATGAAATTGTTTCAATAGGCAATTCAAAATAAATATTTCCTCAAATTTTAAAAAAGATTACAGATATAACTAAACAATGAACTTAATTTAGTTATCACAAGCTATCCAAAATTAATTATTTCCATGCTTAACTGTGTTATTCATTTAAATTATAATATATTATTCTTTTAGGTATAAATTCTTTTTAATCTTTTCTGCTACAGACCATTAATTGAAATAATAGATGATAGATGTACAGGCATTTAGCTCGATTTCCAATAATTAAAACTTAATTATTAATAAAATACATCCTTCTCATTACACACAAAATTGCAGAATTCCTAAATGTAATTTTAAGAAAATCCTAAATTTAATTTTTCAAGTTTCCCTTCCACTAAAACATTTATTGCCTACAGGCAACCAGACGGTAAGCTGAACACTAGCATTTGGCTCTTCCAAATGCTAGTGTTCAAATCTCAGAGAATGGGTCAGATCCCAGAGAATGCTAGAGTCAAATTCCTGAGAATGGGTTGCCTGCATAAGTGTTTGTGTAACATGAATATACACCAATTTTCTTCAAAATATTCTCTATGGTCTTCCTTGCTTGGACAGGTGGCACTTTCTCGCTTTCTCATACTTCAAGTAATCAATTAAAACATTTAATGTAGGTATGACTTCACAACTTCTGATGTAGATATGACTGAATAATGTAGGTATGACTTCACAACAAAAATATCCATGACATATATTACTTAATAAGTGGTAAATAAGATGAAATATGTGATAAGCATCGGAGCCCAAATGCTATCTTTAGATAAAACTATGCATGTGAGAAAAATATTTACACCAATTATATACATAAATAGAAGTCAGCATATTTTATTGCAGTCTGTATGGAAAAGTTGTTCTATAATAATAGCCAATGCAGAATTTTATTCAAAGTGACCATTACTAATTTGCATTCGTATATATTTATTGTGTTAAATTTCACATTTAATAATTGCTACTCTTAAATGCACTGTCTAAACAAGAAATACTCATCAAACAGAATGAATTTATCTTATCCGCAATGAATATATTCAATTTATTCCCATATAACTTTTAGTGTTAAATAATGGATATAATAAGATCATACACAATATGTATTCTGAATCTTGCTCTTTAAAATTCAAAAGAATGCAAGTGCTGAAATAAGAAAACACTATATTCATTGTAACACTTCCAGTCCTTCTCAGCTCAATAATAAATATATGTATATTTGAATTCTCTTAATCCACAGGTGTTAGTAAATCTGTAATACTCTAGACCAGGG